TCGAAGCGGCTGAGGAGCAGCGAGGTGTGCGCCGACTGCAGCGCTCAGGGTAGGCGCGGGGGGGGGTGCAAGTGCCGGGAGGTGGGTTTCCCTCAGCTCCCCTCAGGCAAGCGCGGCCTGCAGCGGGGGGGCCCGCGCCCGCACACCTGGGCGCTTCACCTGCCTTCTTATCGAAACAAACACAACCACGCCTTCATCTTAACGGTCCAAGCACGGTGCCCCCGGGCTTGCCCTGCACCTGCGCTCGTGGCGGGGGGAAGGGGGGGCTTGCCCAGACTCGGGGTCCAGGAGCCACTGCCCCGCGACAGCTCACAGCCTGGGAGCGGCGACAGGGCCCGGCCGAGGTGTGCGCGCCGTGAGAAAGCGCAAGTAAAAGAGCACGGACTGTGTGCAGGCGACACCACGCACGCTTGATATAGCGCTGAGTGTGAACATGGAAGTAAAACGCTCATTAAAGGAGCGTTCCCGGCGTGGAGGCTATACCTGCACGTTTTGTCGTGTTTAGCGAGCGCATGCAGGGGAAATGGCAATTAAAAGAGCATCAGTGGGGTGGAGGCTGTACCGCGCGCACTTTATATAGCGCCTGAGAGTCTCTAGAAGTCAAACGGCAATTAAAAGAGCGTCCGCTTGACAGCAGAGAGTGAGCGCACCCTATACAAATCACTAAGAAACGCAACCGCGTGAGGCGTAAACACCCAAAACAGGCACGTGCAACACATGCAGCGGCCTAGGGGCACTTGAGCAACACCATGGTAAGCGGGATGAGATTGAAGCGCTGGAGAGGAGAATCGTCCTCAGCCCAACGCCGCGTCCACCCGTGTACGAGCTGCCCCGCAACTCGTGGATTAAATGAAATGGGATTCGCTCCGGAGCCGCACGTTATAAGTTTGGTTTGGGTCGCAAGAATATACGAAAGGGTCGCAAGCAGACTTTTTAAATGGATTCTCCTTTAAAGGAGAAAAATGTGGGAAGCTTTGGCTTTTCCCTCGCAGGCTGCGGAGGGCTGCTTGTGGACCCACGTGCCCCACACACCCACTCCCTGCCCCACACATTGCAGGGGCTGGGGGCAGCGGGTCAGGAGTGAGAGGTACTGGGTCAGAATTGACCGTCAATGTTGACAAATGGGGCCTGGTACAAAAAAGGTTAAGAACCACTGGCTTAAAGGATAGTCCAATATGTGAATCTGCTGACCAACTCCTCCCGTGTGTAGCGCGCCCGCACACCAGGATGAGGACCTGGGAAGTGTCGGTGATAAAGCAGTTGTGCGCCTCGGCCGCATTAATGATGTGTAAAGGGGGAAATGAAGGATAGGAGAGAAGAAGAGGCCTTGGAATTGATGACTCCCAGTTCAGTGATGCCAGGAAAGGAAACGCAGTCCCAGGTCAAAACAGACAGCAATGCTGAAGAGTTCCTGTGGACTTTGGTGGGTTTACACCTCTACCCATATACAGATAAGTGCTGCTTGTGCTGACCTGTGCACATAAGTGATGTTAAGTGCTCGTTGCAATACAAGCGCTAGGATGAATGTTAAGACTGGCATCATGTTATACACTTAAAGGAGTTTTGCACTTATCTAATATGGATATAAGTGGAATTTACCAAACCGTGTAAACAATCGTGGCACAACTAATTCTGTGACTCCTCTTATAAGGATGCTGTCCAGATAAGTCTCCCTTTTCAGTGCATTCCCATACCTGTGTTTAAAATGTTTATAGTATTAACATGGAAGAATTGTAACCTTACTTTTTGGTTTTTGTGCTTCCTTTTTGCTCTTTCCTGTGTGTCAGTACTGGCTCAAGAGAGTTTCACTTCTAGACAACTCAGTTAAATACATGATTTGCATGACAAGCCATCTGTGAGTTGTCAAACTGTAAGAAAAAAGGCCAGAATCCTGTGGGCTTTGTTGGAGGTAAATTTCAGCATTCATAGGATGGAGGTTCAGCATGTTCAGGAGCTTGTTGATAGTGTTCTGTCATGGTGTCTCTCCTACACTAGTTAGAAAAGAAATAGTGTTAGGGCAGTGTTTTAATAAGCTGATCCCTTAGTCAGGTTTATTGACAAGGTTTCCAGAGCCTAATACATAGTCCTAACTTCTGCTTCAAAATATCAGAAAATATGAGTTCCAGCAATATTCCCTGTAGCTCTAATTGAGGAGTCCACTAATTTTAAGAGTGCTAAGTATTGTTCGCTGTCCCTTTAAAACAAGTGTGGGCTGTATCTCATTTTGTGTGTTAGTGACCTATAGTCTTGAAGGCTGAGCATGCACAGAGGAGAGTTGTGTTCCATCAAGTGAGATGGCCTAAAATAACATCCAGCGCAGAAGTATTGGTATTTAGCATAGCAAGAGATTATTTGTAGAGTTACCCCTCTGATAGTGAGCTTAGAAATGACAAATGAGATTTGTTGAATTTCCTTTTAAACATGAATCTAATTTCTATAAAATCCGAATATTCCACCAGCAATTCCATCCTTTATTGGAATGAGATGTTTGCTTTGCAAACTGGATAAACACTGAATTTGCATCCAGGAACAAAGAATTCATTGACAGCTGTTGCCCTTTAACACAACTTGCAGTTTACAATTATTGAATTTATGCTTGGATTTCTGGATTTCATTAGTCGCAGGTTGATGACATCTGCTTAATTTTAGTGCTGTGGTGTTTTACATAGTTGAGTACTTTTTATTTAAGGGGCATCAGCAAGATAAAATTAACATATTCAGTGACTTATTAATAGCGTAATTAATAGCGAATTGTTAAAACTGAAGAGTCTCAATTTTTAAATGAGTTGATTCTGTTGTGGTGTATGTTACATTTAATTGAGGTTTGAATAGGGACATTAGATTAGTCAGTTTCTTCTTGGTTTTGCTGGAGAGGATTCCTGCACTAGACTAGTGATGCTGACTTCAAGTCACCTTAGCTGAGCTGGCTTTTAGAATATTTTAGGAATACTTCTAGGCCTCAGTCCTGCAAGTAATTATGTACATGTGTAGCTGTACTTTGGGCAGTCCTGTTAACTTTAATAAAACAACTCAAATGGGTAAAGCTATGCACATAAGTCAGAAGAATGGTCCAAATGACTAACTGGGGAAGCTCTGAAAGCTTTGCTTAAAAACGATTTTTAGAATGCCAGAAGGCACGCTCTCTTTTTAAACTTCAAATGTATTTGTCATTCTTTCATTTATATCTACTCATAATAATCTTTTTCTACCCCAGCTTATAAATCATCTTTCTCAGGTTTATGCAGTTCATGCTCTGTGTTGTGTTTTGTGTTGTGCTGTGCTTCTTTCAAGATCAATGGTGTGACAGATGTAACACCAAAATAAATTACAAGTTTATACAGGTAAACACTGAATACTCAAAAGTTTTGTAAAAACAAATGGACACCCACCTTCTCCCCCTGGGTTAATCTCCATTTTCCTTAGGTGATAAAGACTCTGGAAAATAGGATTTACTGTATTCAGTTTCTTAGCATCATAAATGAAGATTCCAGAGTTGATATCCACAGCTCTACCCTTCTTGTTACCCAGTAATTAATGTCACAGCCATATGTCCCATGTTATCAGTCCTATCCTAATTCTGTTGTAAAGCTGCTTTTACGCTGCTTAAATGTATTGAACATAGAGGAACTTATCACTACCACAGTATTCCTTGAATTTCTGTACAGCAGTTTGTTTTTTCCCTGGCCCATTTTTTCTTTGTTTAGTTTTGACAAAGAATTGTTCACTCGTGCCTTATAAACCCCTCAAAATAATATCTTACATTTGTACGGCAAAATGCAAATGTTTTTGGTGATATCTTTTATTGAACCAGCTGTATACGAGTTTGTACAGTTAATCTAATTAAAGCTATCACCCAAAAAACCTTGCTTCTTGCATATCTCTTGGCTAATCGTGGCCACAAAACACTCCATCCCTACTTGTTCGTTTTGACATGAGGCGATGATGTGTCCTTTATCAGCGCACACTGCATTCTGTGTAATCGTACAATTCACTTTTCAAAGTCTCTTGATAACAACTAGCAAGTTTGTCTTGATCTGTCTTACTTCCTGTTTTGAATTCTTCTCTAGTGCTACTGAAAGCATAGCAGAACTTGTCTTGCCCTCTCTTCCCCTACCGTATCTTCCTTAATATCTTGCCATCAATTTAAACTTAACCATGATCTTGTCTATATCCAGTGTTTAATCAAAAGAATTTTAAAGTTGTTCAAGGCTGTTTGTAAATTAAATGAGGGGGAAAAAACCCCAAACAGGTCAGTGAAATGAGAGCAAGACATGGTGTAGACACTTAAATCAATTTAAACCTCACTTATCTGTTTAGTGTAAGTTGACATCTCCACCTCTTATCTGTGGCCTGCCTGGGACTTGCTGTCCCCCAAGCTTAAGATAACTTGTATAAACCGTGTTTAAATTGAATTTAAAAGGCAGCGCTTCTTTTTTGTGTGTGATTTTTAACTATATCTGTTTGAAGTAACACCTTTAGTTAATCCAGTAACTCCTAAAGCAAATTAAATTCTTTGCTCAGCACATGCTGTCAATCCCACTTTTACTAGTGATTCAGGCCTTTTACCTGTAGTGTTTCTCCCACTCCTCCATCTTCCTGGTCCTGGCACATCCAGGTGTGTGAAAATCCTGCTGCTTCTTCCTTCCAAAAACTTCCAGACCTAACACTTCAGTCCTCTCAAGCTCTTATTTGGGCCCATAAGTAGGTCATGTATTAGTGATTGTGTCCATTTCCTGTCTGGCCTTTCCAACACTCATCAGTTGCAAAGAACGTTGCCTTGGCTCGTTTGTGCTACCATGACAGTCCCCTGTTTGAATCCTTCCACTTTCTTTCTGTTTCCACTGCATCAGGTTCAGTTTTTAAATCACTCCTTTCCTCTGCCACCGATGCAAAGCTTTGATGAATACTTGACAACTTCTACCAAAAATGTCTGCCTGCTTTCATTAACGCTACTTTTCATTCATAGATAGTATTTTCTAAATTACCAGTTTTCAGTAGGATTTTTTTTCTCCAAATCTCTACTAAAATCCTACTTGTGCCATGAATTGTGAGGGTTATTTGCTCAACCAGGGGTGACCAAGTGGCCAGTATTGAGTGATAGCTGAATATGTTCAATTATAAGAGTGAACAATTTGCAAATGGTTTGCAGCAATAGCTGTCTAGTAGGAATAATAAGGCAAGAAATCTGGTTGGTTTTAAGGAACTTGTTAAGTGTATTAAGGGAATTATGTGATATAGTTTCCTGTGATAGCAGGGTAGGAATTTGCTCTTTACTGGCATTTCTTTGGAACTCATCACAGCAGTATCTGGGAACTGCTTAGTTTTAGCCTTACAATGGATCCGATATGAGGAAGACAGGGGGTCCTATTTACAAATGAGCAACTGAGGCCACAGAATGGTTTTCTTCAAGGTCTTAAGTGTGTGGCAGTCTGAAATAAAACCCAGATCTCCTGAAACCCAATATAGTGCCTTACATACAAGACCCATTCTTCCTCCAACATCTTGAGGTCTGCGAAGGTTGTGATTTGCCCAAGTTCATATAGCAAATAAGCTGGAAAACCAGGAGTACCATTTTAACATTGAACTTGTTTGTCTCTGTGTTATAACATGTGTAACTCTTTTCCAGACCCTTGTTGGGCATCAATAAACCGGGGGATTTTAATTTGTGATGAGTGCTGTAGTGTGCATCGGAGCCTGGGGCGTCATATCTCACAAGTGAGGCATCTCAAACACACACCATGGCCTCCAACGTTGCTGCAGGTAAAGGATGAGACTTGCTATTTTAGAGAATTCTGTAATAACTAAACTTTCTTGGAAGGATGGTTGCTCCCTTAAGCTTTTTTTTAAAAGATGCTTGGTTTCTGTTACCTTTCTGTAGTGCAGGGGTGTCAAACAAGGCCTATGGGTTGATTCCGGCCTGCAGAACTGTTGCATCCAGCCCACTAGTAGTCCAGCAGGCTACAGAATTGCACACCTTCAGCTCTGCACAGTTGCGAACCCCTGGCAATGTTGCCAGCCACAGGCATTCTAGCAGCAGTGCTGACCTAGCACATTGCAAGTGCCTGAGGTGTGCAGTAGTGTGGAGTTGAGAGTATGCAGCAGCACAGAGCTTTGGCTGGGCATCTGCATGGAGCCAGGGATGTGCAGTGGTATGGAGCTGCCTTTGGCCAGATTTTGTGTCTCCTCAAGCCCCTGGCTCAGCACTGCCCAAATGCAACTGCCTGCAGTCCCATGGTCCTGGATCCACACTGCCACAGACCAGACCCATGCTGCAACCTGAACGCAGCCTCATGATCTGGCCCTGGAAGGAGCTGTGTAGTTGATTTGGTTCCAGGCCCAGAGTGAGTTTAACACCCCGTGTAGTGCATTACTAAAGTAAATGCTACCTGTGAAATTCTTGACTTCCATCTAGGATAAATGGAAAGTCTGAAGCACAGTTAAAATTCTCTTGGTTTAGCGAGTAGCTTTCAAGCCATTTTAGATTACTGCAGGTGTTTCAGTGCAAGTTGTCAACATGCAGCAACCCTTCCTCTTCCCCAAAGCTACTGTTGGCAAGAGCGTAAATCTTCACTGCTGTGGGGGGAGGATCTAATTCTAGGCTTTCTGTTTTCATTTCTGCTTTCTCACTGCTTCTGTCTTATATATCCTAAAAGATCCTTTACCAGCACTTTAACAGATGCAGCTTTGTTCTTTTAGTTTAAACTTACCTTGACCCTAACCCCACGCATACACTATTAATCCAGACAGTTTGGCTGTGGTCTGTAGCCTGATTAGCAGGTGGTTAAATATATGGAATTTACCACTTTTCTACAGCATGCATATTGTAGCGGTTTGGAGTCTGCAGATCAGGAATTCTGTGGTCTATTTTTTAAATTAAAAATGTTGTTTCTGCCAGAATAAAACATTTTGGAAAAATGTGTTGATTTCAGCAATTTTGTCTGGAGAAAATCTAAGTTCATGTGCACAGCCTGTCATCTCTGGCCTTTGAAGGAAGGGCTTCTTACTTGTGAATGCAAAGGAGCCACTCCTGACATTCCCTTTAGTCATAGATGTTAGCACAGAACTGGACAAATCTGTTACTCTTCTGGTTTGTTCATGTGATCCTGTTCATCTTTTTTCCCCTAAAGAATGCCAAGAGTTTTTCAATTAATAGGTTTAAAAATAAGATATTGCTGATAGCATGCCTGCACTGGAAGGGTGCTGGCAAAGTACTGGGAAATTTGTGCGGTCTTGGTTATCCTGTCTGTGCAAGTAGGAGTAAAAACACTTAATGCTTGTTGTACATGTTTTGAATTTCAGATGGTTGAAACACTGTATAATAATGGTGCTAACTCCATATGGGAACATTCTTTGCTAGACCCAGCATCTGTTATGAGTGGAAGGCGCAAAGCTAACCCACAGGATAAAGTCCAGTAAGTAGAATATTTTTATAAAATTCTCTTTATAGTTGCAGGAGACGTTTTGGAAAAATGCAGTTATTTTTGACCAGCTGTGACAAAGGCGGCAAAAGGGCAAGTGAAGCTGATCTTGTTTTAGTTTTTAAATATGGTTGAAAGTGTTGTTATATGAACAGGTCTGAAGGAGTTCCGTCTTCTCTTAGTCATTGATCTTTAAACCTTGATGATCAAATAATCAACTTTGCTGTGAGCAATGTGGTTTAAACGTATTTAATTCTAAAGCATCTTTCAAAGCTTTTGCAACCTAAACCTTGAAGTGAATGTTCACATATGAGTGAAGAATCTTTTCATTCTTAGGCATGCCTTAACAGTATCCATCTGTCATAAGTTGAGTAGTGCCTTTAAAAAAAACAAACCATATTTCATGCCACAACCATCTTCTGCTCTCCTTTTATCAATCAGTATTTACAGAACGTCAGCTATGTAATTTAAAAAGTAGGGTTTTTTTTAAATATAATTTTGTATATTAGTTTAACAGTTTCATCTGAATGGTATTAAGCACTTCCAGCTCAGAATGAAATCAGATGTTCAGGGTGTTCCAAACCTTTTGGGACAGGTGCTAAGTTTATAAGTATAACTGAAAATAATGTTACTTTATTTTTTAGAACTTATCTCCAGATTTTAGAACTGAGAGGTCATCTGCTTGCGTCTGCTTTTTATTCATAAACTGGAAAAGGAAAAATATGATTTCCTCCTTTTTTTTAGCTCCCAGCTGATTTTCTAAACTTTGAATGGAACAGGAACTGCTTGAAAAACTAAAATGAAGAAAAAGTTTCTGCATCCGCATAAGAAACTATTGTTGTCAAAGCTGGTTTAATACTTCAGCAAACTGTTCCCAGTGTTTTAGTCAGGAACTTCCACTACTGCGGTGGTTTGAGCATTAGAGCTTCAGCAGTTTTAAAATAGGTTGCCATAATTATTAAATTTAATTTTAAATGTACTTATTTTAAACATTCATTTTTAAGGGAAAAGTGCTTTTAAATAGAGAGCTGCTTTTTTAATTGCTAATTTTATCACTTTGGCTTTGAAGAAAAAAATATTTTTCTTATTTTGGGGTTTTTTATTGAGGGGGTTTAATGAGTCACTTTCCAATCAGCTATAATTATTGTGAAAGTTACTCTCAGTACCAGTACCCTTCAATAAAGTGATAAATTTGAATTGAATTCTGTATTGCATGAAAATATTTTCTAATACCTTTTTTCAGTTCCTTGTTACATGTAAGAGGGGAAAAAGGATATTTTTTTCTTACCCCTGACAAATAAATGTCTGTGTAATTCTACAATGGATATATTTTGCAAGTCCTTTGCTTTAATTTCTTTTACAGTCCCAACAAAGCAGAATTCATTAAAGCTAAATATCAAATGCTAGCATTTGTTCATCGCTTGCCATGCCGAGATGATGACAGTGTTACTGCCAAAGACCTTAGTAAGGTAAGTGGGTTTTCCTTATAGTTTGTGGACAGGAACCAAATTGCATCATATGCTTTGTGTTGTGTTGCAAAGTACTGTAAGACTGAAATCTGAATAATATTAAGTTATTTTGTTTGTGACCATCTGAGAGATAATTGGTGCCCCACTGTAGAGCACTCTGCACCTGAAAAAAGTCACTTTTCAGCAATTTTTTGTTATGATAATGAGAGTTATGAAGAGGTATTAAAAATACAGACATAGTAGGATAACTGAATCACATTATTAGACACTGTTGGAAAGTAAAGCACTTGCAAATAGCGGTGATGGATGGATGTGTGTGTCTGGGTATTTATATGCCTAATAAGGGGTCAGTGGGTTTTTTTGTTTGTTTTGTTTTGTTTTATCTCTACCTTCTCCTGTATATAGATTTTTAATGAACATCCTTCTTCTGTTTTTCAGCAACTCCATTCCAGTGTGAGGACAGGGAATCTGGAGACATGTTTGAGATTACTCTCTTTAGGAGCCCAAGCCAACTTTTTTCACCCCGTATGAAAACTTTTTCATTACCTTGATATTTGACCAGTCCTTAGTCTGTCAATATTTATATATGGTTCAGCTGGTACACATTTATTTCACTCTTCTACTCACAACTGGTTATTAAATGTAACTATGTGCTTTTGTTAATGGCTTTTAGGAAAAAGGAAACACCCCACTTCATGTTGCTGCCAAAGCAGGACAGATTTTACAGGCAGAGTTGTTAGCAGTCTACGGTGCTGACCCTGGCACACAAGACTCCAATGGAAAAACTCCGGTAGACTATGCAAGGTATGCAAAGCTTTGACTTCTGTCATTATATACTTTCATGTATTAACTGTTTATAAAATCATAAATAAGCTCCAATGCCAGGGTCTTTGGGTACCCTGACCTAGGATTTCATCAGATGAGTGTCCTTTCCAACTTAGAGCAAATATATACAAACACAGTTTTCTCTAGACAGTGATGTCCAGGAAGGCTCCACCTTAAAATGCAGCAGTACGGCCAACATCTAAATAGAGTATTTAGGACTTTACATGTGTTGTGAATATAAAATTGCAACCAAGGTAAGTCTGTATGCTGTACAACTACAAAATTTAGGAGTATAGTCTCTATGCTTGAACTTCTAGAACCTAGTCTATAAGCATGGGGACTGTACAAATCACATGGGGAATCAAGCACCCTACAGCAGAGCTGTTGCCACTGCTATAGTTCAGATTTTGATACAGGATAAATTCAGTATACCAACTCAAAAACTGCAAAGAAAACTCTAAGGGGGTTTTGGGGCTTGTTTGTTTGTGTTTTTAAGATAAATTATGAATCTGCTATTTTCATAAACGATAAGCAAGGCTATTCCAAAGTTGTCCTCAGATTTTCTTGATGTGTTCAGAAAAAGTTCACCATAACCATTGCCTTTTAGTTTTCATTTTTCAAAATTTACCTGGCATCTTTTATGTAAGGTGTCAAATTGAAAATTAATCAGGGGTCTGTTGATTTAATATCTTCCTGACCAGTTTTCAAACCATTACATTTTGCAGCTAGGAATTGCTCTTTTCTGGTTTTTGCTTAATAGGCAAGGTGGGCATCATGATCTGGCAGAGCGCCTTGTAGAAATACAGTATGAACTTACTGACAGACTTGCATTCTATCTTTGTGGAAGAAAACCGGGTAAGTTAAATTACACTGAAACCAGTGCTTTTCAAATGTAGTTAACTATACAAACTGAACGTATAACACTTACAGATGCCATTAACATTATTCTTATCAGTATTTTTAGTGATCTAAAATCTTTTGCTCAACATGCATCTATAGCAGTAAAAGAATAGGGCTGAGAAGAATATGGGAAAACATGCCTTGCTATAAATAAACAGTGTGGCCTCATGGAAAGTAGTCAGCAGTTCTAGTTGTCCATCTCCAAATGGATATTGCAGATCAGGGTGACAAGTTGTTAGGAGTGGGTTACTGATAAGTGTAACAGAACTATACATTGTTTCCAGTAGTGGTAACATTATGCAAGGAATATCCTGTTTCAGGATAAACTGATCTCTATTTATTGGGAATTAGGAGATTTAAGGACGTAGTGTCCCACATCTGCCTAAAGCAAGGGTTCTCTTTGCCACTGTTTGTTGCAGAACTAAGGTTTTGACTTTGTGTCTAACAACACTGAAAACTAGGTCTGTAGCCATGTGTCATACACTTCCTAAGGCTAACATTTAGCCTTCCTTCCAATTTCAGATCACAAAAATGGACAACATTTTATTATACCTCAAATGGCAGACAGGTAAGACAGTCGTTAAGTACCACATGTTAAAATAAACATCAAAATAACTGATACTTTACTTTAGAATTTCCTATTGAAATGACTTTTTTCAATTTATTCTCTATATGGCATTTTTTCCTTTTTGACACGCTTGCTCATCTTGCAAGCTTTTCTGCAGTTGAACATTAAAATGTCATGCGGGAGACTAGAGAACTTAATTTTGACAGATTTCGGTTTCTTTTACACTTTTAATTTAGATAAGTGAAAGAATATACAGAGAAATTGCTAAAAAGCAAATTTATGGATAATCAGTAATCACTCTAAATTTCTTGATATGCAAATATGACTAACATCTTCAGGAAAATATTGCATTTTTGCTCAATTGTTTGCACTCCTAATTGTCCTGGTATTAGCACTTAGAATGTATGAACTGTAAAGTCATATTTATTTAAAATAATTATTTAATTGTTAACAAAATCATAAGTCCATGTATTTTTTCCTTCATTGCTGTACAATTGGAAACAAGACGACTGTAAGTAAACTGTTGTAGATTTCAGTTATTTTGTTAAATTCATTCTGTTTGCAATGACGCTAAGAAAACAAGTCAAAATCAGCTGGTATTCAGTTAAAGATACAGTTGATGTATGCAGTTAGTAAAATACTTTCTGGCACTTTAAAATTTTTCAAAGGTTATGTGTAGATCCTATCTAAGATTTCTATAGTACTCAGAGCATTTTAGGAAAGCAAAATAGGTATCATTTTGCCTCATTTCATATCGAGGAACAGAGAGGTGATATGATTTGTTCAGCACGTTGGGTCATACAGCATGCAGTAGAATTGTGGTGTTTCAGCTCTGCTAGGGTTAGGCCCTTATTCCCCTTTGTCCTTGTCTAAGATGATTGCTTATAGAAACTTCCCCTGTGATCTAATGCGTTCAGATTGAAGCCTAAATTGAGTCTTTGTCTTAGAAGAGCTCCTGCTGCAAGAACATTGCGTCTATATTGAATGGGGGAGGAATTGCCCCTAGTGATATGTGTTCACAGTTTGTCAACTTGCTGGGCCTTTGGTTTCCACTTTTTAGTTCTGCTTCTGTTCTAACCACAAAAACTTGCAATTTGTGTCTCAACCTTGACTCAGGAAACTAATAGAGGCGATTGCTCCATGACTAGTCAATGACATGCTGTGGGTAACTTTAAGGTGTGAGGCCTTGTCTCATCAACTTTTGGCCAACCTGATGTTACCTGACTCCGTGACTAATCAAGTGAAATCATTCTTGTGTGTTGATTGCAGCTGTTATTTAAGGACAGACATTTGGGGGCAGTTTTTATATCCCTCCAGAAACCATTTTATCGTCCTGTAATCCATTCTGCCTTCTGAGATGTACAAAATATCCACTTGGATTCCTAATGACCTCTTTGATTCTGTTTATTTTGGAAATTAAAATTTTTTTCATCTATGGCAGTTTAATCTTTGTTAGAATCTCAGAAGTATCAAAATGAGATTTTCCTGGAGAAAATTTAGCAAACTATCAAATTGGTAAGAACAGCATGAACAGCAGTGATGTAGATGTAGTGATCGCTTTCTGTTTTCATAGCAGTCTAGATTTATCTGAATTGGCAAAAGCAGCTAAGAAGAAGCTTCAGTCTGTAAGTAAAGCTCCTGCTTAATCGGTGCTGTACTGCATGTGGTCAGCAGCCTATACTTCATCTCTGAAGTTGTTGTAGACTTTATAACGGACAAGCTGCCATTAGTTCCTGCCTGTACAGAAACCATTTCTGTGGTAACTAATGCACTTGAAAGAAGCAATGGAAGACCCAAAAGGGCAGGGCACAGCCCACAAGCCTAATATTAGGTGGCTGAGAGATGATGATGGGGTTTTTTCACCCTTGTTTGTTATTAGATACAGTTGTATTGTTTCAAAGTCATGATCTTCATTATTTCATGACATTGTGTTCCATACAAACTCAAACCCAGGAAAGGTATTAATCTTTTTTCAATTAAGTGTGATTTGTCCTACAGAAGGGTGGAAGGGTGTAATTAAAAATATTATAGTTTTAGTTAGCAGTATACATTTCTGTCTTATGCTAAGCCCTGAAGTACCTTCTATCAGTAAATGAAATGCCTGAATAACATAGCATTTTGATCTGTGCCGCAACTGATTTCTCATTAGTTCAGTTCTTCATAACACAAGTATCTCAAACCAGTTGCTTTAGGAATTCATTCTAGAATAAGTCACTACTTAAATCTCATTTAGGTTCACATCCCAAAAAGTATCTGGGTCTCTATCTTGGTCTTTGGATTTGGGTTCTAAATCTTAACCTTCCCCCAATGAGTTCTGAGAAAATCAGAATTTTTATAAGGTCCAAAAAAAAGAATTACTCGTTCTCCTTTTACATACACTGGTTGGTGTTGAACAACCCTGATCCCTCTAGAGCTGGCATTTAGGATACTAGGTATGCCTGGCTTTACAGACTTTTTAATAGCCAAAGAATGTATTGCCTCCTGGATTGCAAAGTAACATATCCTTTAAGCAAAGGAGTGCCCCTCTGCTTTCTGTAAAAGAAGAACGTTTTCTTTTTTGTTTGTTTGGGGTTTTTTAATTTTTTTGCTGTCTTGCTCTTAAGTCATAATCACCTCCTTCTTTTGGGTTGTTTTTAGCTAAGTAACCATCTATTTGAAGAACTTGCCATGGATGTGTATGATGAAGTTGACAGGCGGGAAACAGATGCAGGTGAACAACACTTTCTAGACTATGCAATAGTGTACATTTTGAAATGTCATGTTAGAGGGAAGAATTTTACTCTTAGTAGTTCTTGATTGTTGTAAATTCTTGGCTTGTGTTACATGTAATGCCTTAAACTCTGTACTAGATTTTAAAATATCTTCTTCTCTCACCAAACATTTTCTTTGAGTTTGATTATCTTTTGTTGTTGAGCCTGTGATCCTTTGACCCTTTTGACAATGTTACATGGAGTGAGGAGGGTATTCTAAAACTGGGCCTGTCTGGTTTTTCTCTAAAGTTTGGCTTGCTACTCAGAACCACAGCACATTGGTGACTGAGAAAACAGTTGTCCCTTTTCTTCCTGTAAATCCCGAATATTCCTCAACAAGGAATCAGGTACGTAACTTTGTTAGCCTGTTTTCTAGAAGCATTTTGTTAACATAGTCCAGGTGTTCAAATTAGTGTCTTTTGCAAAGCAGAGGTACCTGAGTAATTGGCTAGCTAAAAAAAGAAAAACAATAAAATCAATTAAATCGAGCTGTGGGGAATGGAGGTATTTGTGATGCAATATAAACTCACAAATCCGGTGTGCTCAGGACCAAGCACCTGCCAGAAATTTGAAAATGCCGGATTTTTTTAAACCAGCGCAGCAGCCAGTTGCGGGGGGAGGACGGGACAGCGGCGGCCGGTTCTGGGACAGCAGCTGCATGTGGAGCGGTGGTGTGGGGTGGTGAATGGCAGCAACAACCGCCACGTACAAGCTTCCCCCTCCGTGTCTAGGAGGGCATGGGGGAGCAGTGGCTAGTCCCAGAGCGGCAGGGGCAAGTGCTGGATTTTTGATAATTCCAGATTTTTGGTATCCGAATTTATGAGTTTATACTGTAGTAGTATTCTGAAATGCACAGTGCGTGCATGTGATTTTAAAAAAAAAAATACAGTACATTTCACACAAGTGTAATTAAGCTGCTGATGTCACTGTTTAACTAATGTACACCAGTATTGCTCTTATCTGGGTATTTTTGCCTACATCTTAATTAGAGCAAACATTTACAGGAAACCCAGAGAGCAAAAATAATGCTGTTTTAAGGCGGCTTATTGCTGTATTTGTTTGAGTACATGGGCATTATGAACATACTTGTCTTTGTTGTTGCCTGGGAATAATGTTGTTGTTGTGGTTGTTATGACTACTTAGATAATGTCCACCTATGACATTATGTAAACAACATTTTGCATCATTCTATAATTTAGGGAAGACAGAAACTGGCCCGGTTTAATGCCCATGAATTTGCTACGCTAGTTATAGATATTTTAAGTGATGCTAAACGAAGACAACAAGGAAATTCTGTCACGGGTTCTAAAGGTAAGTATTGTTTTGACAGTCTAATTTTTATATGCAAATCAGTATTTCAGCAGTTCCACTGTACTTAGGATGCAGTGCTCTAGGACTTGCTGCTAATTTGTTGGCAAATCCATTCTGTGCTATTTGAGCATATCTTAAATTTCAGCCACTTAAATCAGAAATCATCCAAGAAGCTCAGATATGTAGTTCTAGTTTTAGAGAACTGCAACAACAATTAAATACAGCACTTTCCTCTCTAAAGAGATACTAAAGAATCATGTTTCACTATGCAGCTTCCCTGTATTAACGGAATGGTGCTACACATGTAACAGCAATTGCATTTTGTTTTGTACCTTTTTTCGACAGCATTCACCCTGTCAGTTGTATTAAACTGGTAATACTTTATTGTAATTAGTTGGTTGAGTTCGCCTACACATTTAAAGGAAGAGAAGACTAAAATTAAGGTCTTCTGAGTTAATCTTTTACGTGTTTGTGCCTGAAAGCTTGCAAAGAACTATTTTTCCAACTATGTAGTTGGTCTAATAAAAGATATCACAGCTACCCAAAGAACTTTGTCAATATTTTACATAGAGTGATAAATCAACCACACTAGATGGCGCTAAATTAATATTTTTCCTTCTTTGTTAAGACTACTCAAATGGCTTTCTAATATTGTTTCTTTCCATCTGGTTGAATGCTCTTTTTTTGTTTTTAAAGTGAGCCGCCCCCCAACCCCTGCATACAAATCCTAATATATCATGTTTTGATTTATAGAGAACGTGGAACTGATATTGAAAGCTATCAACAGCCGTCATAATAGTGAGAACCAGGATATTGACCAGCCTGATTATGACAGTGTTGCATCAGATGAAGATACAGATTTGGAAACAAATGCAGCTAAAGCAAGCAGGCAGAAGGTGGGTTCTACTCATGATGTAGGCTCCAAAGTCCCATTCTTTCAAATATTTATGTACATACTTAGTTTTTATTCATGTGCGTAGCCCATTAAAGTCAGTGGAACAATTCATCTGAATGAAATTTAGTATGTGTAAGTGTTCATAGGATTAAATCCTTAATGGCCTATTTCAACTTCATTTCAGTTCTGTTTGTCAGTCTGCAAAATTTTTAAGTACTGAAATATTATGACTTAAAATATCTTAAACGTCCAAAATTATAAAAATGAGCAACACAAGTTTTCATTCATTGAAAGCAAACCTCTAAAGCTCAAATGGAAAAGTGCTACAGCAGTTTTATCAGTCATCTCAAAGTACTTCGCATGTATTCTATTTCACTGCCTCTCTGAGAGGTAACAAGCACAGATGGGGTAATTGGGGGCTGAGTAGTGAACTAGTTCCTGAGATCAATTCATTCAGACGGGAAGCAAGCAGCAGTACCCAGAAATCCTGCTGCCATCTGCTCCAATCGTATTCCCTTTATACAAGTTGACATGAATAATAAGCATTTATATTAAATGCTGTGTTCATTGCATGCTTCTTAAAAAAAAACTTTATTCAATATCTAGAGCCTAATTTTTCATACATATAACACGCACACGTTCTCAGTGGTTTTCAAACACCCTAAAGTCACACAACCCTTTCGTATAACTTCTTCTGCCATAGAACCCCTACTTGTATCCACAGAGCCAGGTGACCTGGCCAGGCAATAGTGATGCACTGCCTCCTGACCTGCTCGGCTCTTACTCTCAATCTCTTTGCAAGACCTATTACAGAACCCCAGGGTTCCAGAGAACACAATTTGAAAACCACCGGTGTGTAAAATAATAATACCTGGAACTTTATTAGTTTTCTGTGATTCATTAGCAATAGATGTTAGAAACCTGTTAAAACTTTTATCATATTGCTTTTTTTATAACAGTGTGTTCTTCAGTATTATGGTAGTTTTTTTGTATTTTTTTTGTTTCTAGAGCCTGGATTCAGACTTGTCAGATGGGCCAGTCACAGCACAAGAATATATGCAGGTTAAAAATGCCTTGATGGCTTCTGAAGTAAAGATACAACAGCTAATGAAGGTGAACATCAACTTGAGTGATGAACTGAGAATTATGCAGAAAAAGGTAACAGGACAGTAACATTAGCAAATGTAAAATCCTTTTAGCTGAATGGATTTTGTTTTACTTGCATGAGATGTACAAAATTAAGCACGTATGTCAGAGTCCTAAATCTTTTAAAAAACTAGAACTAGTTTGGAATTGGTGTGATGCAATCAAACATCTCTATATAGAGCAATTTTTTATTTTTTGTTTCATAGAAGGTATTATTGGGGAACTGTCTTGTTCAATTGAATTTAAATTTCCTGATTCCCCCCCCCAAGCCATTTTTAAACAAAATTCTTATTCTGTCTTGCTGCAAAATGGCAATTGTTTGGGGCTTAGGAAACAGCTGACAGCAGATGTATACGCAATACACTTTCTACCTTATATTCAGTTAACTACTTCATCCCATTATTAAGGCTAGTAGGACTAGGGGAAAGGTGGAAATGACATTCTATGTTGGAAGGAAAAGAGGAATTGAAGAACAATATGGCATTGATGCTTCATATAGTGTAGAGCCTAACTGCACTGTTGGTTGCATTTTGATTTTGTATCTGAAAGTGGAAATTAAAATAGGTTGTGGAATCAGAGGAATTCTTTTTAAAAAAGATCTTGCCTCCATGCTAAATTTAAATTGCTGCTCTCAACCTTCAGGGCTAGCATTATCTAGAGTAAAGTAAAAGGTGTGGTATTGGTGAATACAGGAAACCCTTGCTATTCACAGGTTCGGCACTCGCGATTTCACGTATTTGTGAATGCCAAACCCACATCTTAAATACACTTACGGGAGCTCCGCGCTTGCCGCCATTGGGCTCCTGCCATTGCCAGCACAGCCGTGCCCTCTTCCCCTCACTCCCAGAGGTGGACTTGTTTGAGAGAGCTTCCTGCATGTGCCAGGAATATTTGCTTGTTTTCCCCAGTGTCTTGCTGGCAGAGCGAAACTCCAAAGTTCTGCTGCTGCTTGGAGGTCCTAATATGCCCATGGTAGGATTTGTTAAGACTGATTTGGCAGATATAAAACAGACTTTGTCAAGTAAACTGGATTAACGACATGTAAAAATTGTGCATGTGTTTGAGAGAGATGCTGGAACCCACAATATATAGAAGCATCTAAGACACCTATTGGACTTCCTTATTAGTTTTGTAGGTGTCTGAAAAGGGATATTGTGTACTGTAGGTAACCATGGCATATTTGGACTTTGGCACATTGATAAGGTCATAGCAAGAGGAGAGAGAATGTTTTGTTCTCACCTACGACAGCACTTCCTCACAACATGTTACAAGATCTGTCAAAATCCAGTTACATCTCCCTCAGTCTCAAGGTCGCTTTGCACTGGCTTTGGCCCCAGTGATGCTTAGGACAGTTGTGGGCCTGCTCTAGTTAGTTATAGTCCTTAATGACTCCTATGTTAGTGAAAGATAGGCCTGCCAAAACCTCACCTTTCATGATAACCTCCTTCCCACCTCTTTTTCTGGGAGGAGAGGATGACCAAGAACCCAACTGCATTAACTTTAGATGAATAAGAAGTTCCCCTTTGCTAGGGGAACTGTCTGCTGGCCGTATGTGGCCAAAATTCAACTCATCTGCTTTACTTGAGCAATACAAAGGAACCCAGCCTCATTGGAGAGGCTAGCCTGCCTGCCTTGACACACATCTATATGATTTTTTTTCTTCAAAGGATAGATTAAATTTAAATATACAAGCTAAAAAATTATGTTTCTGTAAACTTGGCTTAATAGCGTGTTACGTTTCTAATCATCATTCTCACTTCAAGACACCTTTTTCAAAGAAGTGCACAGGCAGAGCTGCTATTAATACGTGTTACTTGTGGATGGGTTCTCCCTAAGCAAAAAGAAAACCTTAATCTTGGCAGTAGTGGAAAGTTTGATCAGAATATTACAACAGCTACAAGCTGAAATGATACCACCACCACCACACACAAAAGATATAGTAAAATATTGTGCAGATTTAACTTTAATAATTGTGCTAATGTCAATGAATAGTATGGTTCTTTGCTGATCCTGAAACCTTAGCACACAAATCAACATGTCACAGGACAGAAACAGCAGGGGGAAAAACATCACCTTAACTGACTTCCAGCTAGTCAGAATGTCGAGATTTGGGATCCTGGGAAGCACCAGGCAGACTAGAATTTTTCAGCAGACTGATGTTCTTGAAGGTTCATATGAGGCAACACAAGTTTCAAGGACATGCCTACTACTGTTTCCTGATGAAAGATCATCAGCTGTCTGAAACAACATGCTCCATCTATTGTTTAAGAAAGTGAACATAATTCAGTATTAATGTGTTTTTTATGATGTGTTAATATAGCAAACTGACTGAGTAGTTCTACAATGAATTATTACAAGTGTTGCATTTGCTACTCAAAAATAGTATGCAATAAAAAGCTTTAAAATAACTTCTTGTTTGCTTTCTAGAAAGCGGTAGCTGATATCCTGTTTTCACAAGCTAAACTCCACTGTCCTCCTGCTTTGCAAAGCAAGCACTAGTTCTCCTTGGGCTGCCTCTGGTGTCTGCTGTAATTTTGGCAATTGCAAATTTCCCAAACCTATATTTAAGTCCTCTTTAAATTACTCTAGTGATTTGTTTGTTTGCTAAACTGAAGCACTTTGCTTGTAAATAATGCTGTGTTGTATTTTGTTCAAACAGCCTTTGTGGTAGAGCGGAATTTATGAATAAGCATAGCTACACTGGAAAACAAATGCTTTTAACTGCAACAACTAAATTTAAGATCCAGTTTGACTTGCCTCCTAACTGCATAAGTGATTTGAAATAGACACCTACAAATCTGCCAGATCTGGAATATAAACATTTTTTTTGCAGCTTATACCGGGCAAAGTAGATTTCAAAATTTAAAAATTCCATTAAAATTAACTCCAACTCTGCTACTGAATTTATTAGTCAAGCTGACAAGCATGTACTTGTGTAGTTGGTTTGCTTTTGATGCTGGCTGTAGAAAAACCAAGTCCCACTGCTAAACATTTTTTTCAGCTTCAAACGCTACAGAGTGAAAATACAAACCTCAGAAGACAGGCCACAACCAATATATATCAGGTCCAAACTGGTTCTGAATATACAGATCCCACCAACAATTCTTCTTTAAAGCGACGACCATCTGCCCGGGGTAGCAGACCTATGTCTATGTATGAGACTGGATCAGGTCAGAAACCCTACCTCCCTATAGGAGAGGTCACATACCCAGAAGAGAGCATAACAAGACTACAGCCTTTCCCTCCACATGTAAGTAAAATTGCTGATGCTTCTGCACTTCTGTATTGTCAGCTTTTTCTATTCCAACTCTGCATTTTCCAAAATCCCTAGATTGCTTCTTAATAAAGTTAATCAGTAAGAATTGTCACTGTTTGCTGTATTAACATGTCTGCAGGAGCTTGATGTTTTGAAATGTTAAAGCTGTAGCATAATTCTCTGATATGTAAACTGGAGCTTTTGGCTTCTGCTCAGCTGTTTCCTTTAACCACAACGTATTGCCAAAATATCCATGCACGAAGGTTTTAAAAGCAGGAGTGAATGGAACATCGCCCCTAAAAGGTAGGTATTGTTTCTGAATTTCTGTTTTCGAGAGATACAGATATGTCCTTATGTGCAGATTTTTAGAGTCCAGAAATAGTAGGAGTTAATTCTGAATGTTGCTTATGAGCAAAAATGGTACCCAAAACTGTCCTTACCTTTTTTTTTTCTTTTTGGATACAAGTCTGCTTCTATGGACCTCTCTGCAGTGAAGCCTATAATAGTCTCTTATTTTGAAAACTTATTTTGAGTTTATTTTCAACTCTGGTGTTTGCAACCTAGGCCTCTTAGGGGAGCAAGTCCTTCCCGGTTTTTAATTTTCCTGTAATTTTAAGGGCTAAAATAGCATGGTCAGGTTTGTATAAGACAGACACTGATCCTATCCCTTACGAGGTTGTAGTCCAGACATACAAGACAAAGTGCTCCAATCCTTCAGTAGACTTTATCTTTATAATTGCTGTAGATATGGGGGAATATATGACCATTTTCTTTCTAGGTGCGAGTTAACATTTTTCACTTATTGTTAGAGTACTTTTGCACAAACAAGACTCTCAGCGTTCTCTTGCCAGTTATGCAATTAAATCTTTCAAATATATTTTTGAGTTAAAGTTTCTTCCCTGGCTTGAAAAAAAACTACTTGGCATAGATTTAAAGGGAGATGCTCACTGCCAGCAGTAGGGTGCCCATCATAGAGGACAGTCTGGTTGTCCTCTGTCCCTTTTTGATATGAAACCCGACGCCTTTTTCTCTTCAAGAGAAAAATAGAGGATAGGAAGGCATTGGATTTTGTATCAATAGAGGACAGAGTACCAGAAAACCGGAATGTCCTCTATGATGGCCACCCTAGCCAGCAGTAGTCACAAATGTCTGTATTTTGGCAAGATGTATCACTTTTGTCAGATGACACTGAACCCCCCCAGGCAGTAATGCACAAGCTTGGATGTTTTTTCACTCAGGTTAACAAATATGGGACTCTTCCAATTGTTTGGATAAGTTAAGTGCATTTGAGAAATTTTCAACTAGATGGCAAAAACTATATAGCTGTGGGTGCTAGTGACTTGCTGTGGATGGTTTTGATATGCAGCAGTACCTGATAGTGTCAGAACATGCTCATAGACAGCAGTTATTGAAAACAGAGTTTCCTGGGCTCCTGAATTGTGACAAAATTGGTATAGAACTGGCAGTTTTAAGGCAGAGCTTTTTGTGTGAAATTTGGTTGTGCAAATTTTTTTCTTTAAAATCTTTCTATACAACCCTAGTGCAGTATAACCAGTAAGTGAGAGCTTTTGCAGAAGAGGAGGGATTTTGTTTTTTAATATATTCACTGCTCTGTGAAGTTCCACGCTCTGGAGGTCAGCACCCTTTTAATTTTAACATCAGAACTGGCTTAAGAACAATTGTTTTGCAGGAATTAAAAGTCCAGCCCAGGTTAATAAGAACATAAGAAGTGCCAGACTGGGTCAGATCAGTGGCCTACCCAGCCCGGTATTCTGCCTCTGACAGTGGCAGAATTGGATGCTCTGGAAGGAGAGCATTGAACTGGATACATCTAGAGTGATCTCTTCGCCATGCATTACACTCACTGGCATCCACCTTTATTGGTGCAGAGATCTCTGAGGAAACATCTCCAACTGTTCTGTTGCATTTTCTCAATCATTCCTGCCATGAGTCCCTTCATTAATTATCTGACTTGAAAATGTGCTTCTGTTTTAAAGCTATTTTCAGAGTATTTGTGTTTTTGGGTTTTTTTTAGTTTTCCCGAGTGTTTTTCTCTTTCCCCTTTTTAGATCGGGAGGAGTGCGTTTGTGACCTCCTCTTCATCTCTGCCTTCCTTCCCCTCCACGCTTTCCTGGTCAAGGGATGAAAGCACACGAAGGGTTAAGTACCTTCCAAATTGGTCTTCTACCTGGAGGAGGTGGCAATCTCCCTGGCAGCCTTGTGCCTCTGTCCTTTCCCCTCTTTGCTAACTAGCCCTTCATCCCTGCATGGAGCAACACTTCATCACTTCTTCAGTTTTTATTTCACATGCTGTGGAGACTCGCCTCACTCTTATCTAACTTCACATCAACTAAAACACCTGTAGCATTTAACACTGTGCAAAAGTTGCTTCAAATCACTTCTTGCACAAAATGCTATTGGAAATGACCAGAAGAAAATGAGCTAGTTGCTGATGAGAAGTAATTTAGCAGGCATTTACTGATATTTCATAAGCCAATACATATTTTTCCTTTCCGACTAAAATGCATTGCATGGGGCACAGGTATGCTCAGTGGGTTAGTAAAATGCTCTTAAGCCTGTTTTCTCTAGGGGCTGCCACTTTGCATCCAGTCCAGGTTGGTACTGACTGACAGATTTTTCTTGCAGCTGTTCAATAGTTTGTTTGACAAAGTGTGATCTGCTTGCCTGTTTTAGCAAAGAACATGTGATTTGCCCACCAGTTCATTTATTATTAACTAACTCTTGCTGACTGTCTTTACAACAAGGACACGGATTGAATGACTGTGAAGGCAGAGCTCCCTTTTAGCAGTACACTCTGTTCAGGTGTGGGTTGAATTGTGATGCTTCCTGAGAATAAACAAGCCTTTGGCCTCCAGGGCCTTGTTAGTTCCTAAATTGACTTTAAAAAGTGAATGCGTTACTAGGCAATACTAATAGCACTATAAAGCATATGGTGTCCCCAAAGACACCTCTGTTTGCATTGTTGCTTTTCATAAACTAACAGCTTTAGTTCTGGGCCAGGAGTCTGTAGGATTCATGGAAGCACCCTGCACCTTTTTATGAAAACATTGAAATGGGAAACAGATATACTCTTTCTTCATCTAACTTTTCCATTGCAATCTTTCAAGCCAGCACAATTAATAGAAGTACAGCATGAAATCCCATTTTACAGAACTGCAAATTAGGTAGATAGTCTTTTAGTATGCTGAGGTGACCAAACTGGTCATGACTGAGTATTTCCACTAGACTTTACATTTTTATGGGGTTTTAGAAATGGTTATAAGCTGTATATCAAAAGAACCTGAAACCTATTGGTATACATGCAGAACAGTCTCTCTGAACCTATTCCAAATACAAAATAGTGTTTCCTGCAATTGCTGCAGAAGAGCTTCACTTCTAACAAATAGATCCACACTATACACGGGTTCTTTAAGTACATTTTAGCATAATGAGTTTATAATTTGAAGAACTAATCTCTTGCATTGCTTTTTGTTCATATTGAGCCTTATGTTCATATTGAACCATATTTGTGCCTTATGTGTACAAACTAAGAGCTGAACCACTTTGGGTTATAACCATGAATAAACTGCAGATTCTTTTCCATAGCTTGGCCATCCACAGTTACAGAACGTCCTCAGTGGATCTACCAGTCATCACTAGAAACTCCTTTGCACACTCATAGTATTCATATACTTTTATGGTCAGTTTCTTACAACTTTGGGTATCTGGATCCGCTTCGTAGTATTGAGTGTTAGAGGTTTAAACTTTGTGGGTTTGTGGGAGGGGGTTGGTTGGTTGTTTTAGTTTTTTCTCTTTGGTTTTTCAGTGTTAAAGCAGAACTCTTGGGGGAGAATTTTAGGTGAAAAGCTTTTATTGATCATTTAAAATTCAGCTGTTTTTGGAGATCTCTCTTTAAAGACTTTTTCTCCCTCTTAGTCCAGCCCTTCCATATGTCTGACATAGCAGTGAAATTGCAGTCCTGTATTTAACATTGCATCTCTCATCTTCAGCAAGTATTGTTGTATCTCACCCAGCTTTATTACTTCTCAGTTGGGCTCCGGGAGAACAGACCTTTGGAAATTCGTTCTGAATAGCTATGCATGGTTATTAAAGCCAAGAGTCCCATGAACTCACTTTGCTGTTTTAGTAAAGGTTGGTGGGAACATCACTTGACTGGGAGTGGGAAGAACACTGTTAGGTGAGCAGTACAATCTCAGAGCAGTTTTGGGATCAGTTTTGCCTTGATTCAGGATCTACATGCCGCAGTAAAAGACAGAGCATCATAGTGATATTACCATGGCGTGTTCAGAATTTGGACAGCTGCAACTGTCTGTCTGCTGAGGAAATATATATTAACATGGATTAGTCTGGCTTGGGCATCACTGGGAGAAGTTTAATTAATAACATCAGGACAGGCTTAATAAAGAACCCTGGGACTGACTTAGAAGAAAATAAAAATCTTGTTTTGGGATAGGCAGAGAGCTTGAGTATAATGTTTTTGCTTGCATTGGCATTATGTTCCTCAATCTCTCGTGTTTCTGGGAATTTGTTTTAACTTCTTTTTTCAAACTAGATATGGATATGAAATTCTGGTTGTTGTTTGCCCTAAGTATAAATGGCACAGGAAGGACTGATTAGGTTACAGAGATGGGAGTACACCATTGTTTTGTATATGATTCTGTGTATTTTTTCATTAATAATCTTGAGTGTAGAAGTCCACGTCATAGAATCTGCAGGAAGAAAAAATTGAAGTCAGAAAAATACTAGTAAGTGAGTTTGTACTTTAGCCATCTGTTAAGGGACATGGGGCATACTGAGTATGCTAGAACGAGGAAGGCTGAAAGCAACACTGGGTGATGGTCCCTCCTTGTGCTTGATTCAGTTATGCTGCACTGGGAGGCATAAAACTTACAGCTATCTGGGAATTGTCAGATAATTCCACTCTTCGGGGTTTCTGCAAAAGTGTATTGCCTCAGTCGCTTAAAACTGCGTGGACCTCATATTTCAGGCATGATCCCAAGATCATTATGTGGTGTCCCTTTATGAATGTCACAGCAATTGGGACAGTCCTCCTGAGTGATGGCAGTGGGGAAGTACACCAGTGCCTAAATGGTAGGAATGCAGGACTGCGTCAGACTCCACAGAAATCCATGCCTCGCAGGCTTCCACAAAACTTTTCAGCTTATAACAGCTGGAGAACAATAATACATTGGGCTATAGAATGTACTTTGTGGAGAGGACATACCTAACTAGGGAAACTTTTTTTTTTTCAGTGGTAGAGGAAAATCTTTAGTACTCAGGTAACTTCTGCATAGCTGCTGCTGCGTGATCCTCTAAACTCACGTGATGTAAGTTGGTTATTGGTGAGGGACATGAACACGTCCAGTCTCAAAGATATCTGCTTAAAATGCATGAATGAGTGCAGCCTAGCATAGGACAATAATTTGTGGCTATGAAAGGTTCATCATATAAAACAACAAAAATATTGATGCAGGACATGATTGAAATCATGAAGAGAACAAACCAGTTCACCTGGCATGTTCCTGGGAAGGATCTGAAATTTTATGTACAATACTTAAATTAATCTTTATTTGTTGCAGGCATCAAAATTAGAGAAACAGAATAGCATGCCTGAAAGTGACTATGATAACCCCACCCCCAGTCTGGAGCTGGATGAACCAGGGTATGTATGTTTAAGTACACAAGTTTATCTTTGTGTCTGGACAGTGGTAGAAGTGTCAAAGCCTTACTTAAGCACTAGCAGTGTTCGATAGCCCAATGACAACTGTAATGTTCTCTTTTCTAGGTCAGGTAGAAAAGGAAGGCAGAGAAGTGTCATTTGGCAGGGGGAAGGGTCTATCCCTGAGAACACCGACACAGACGCAGCCCCAAGCTCCACCCTGCCCAGCACAGAAGATGTTATTCGAAAAACTGAACAGATCACTAAGAACATCCAGGAGCTGTTGCGAGCAGCACAAGAAAATAAGCATGACAGGTAAGGAGAGGCCTCTAAGTGCTCTGACTCCTCCAAGTGAAAGTGCCTTTTGAAAGGTTAAATATGGGATGCTGAAATACCTTTGCACTTGGAGACGATGACTTTGTGTAAATGAGCCCTTTTTGGGCCCTAGAGGATTGGAACAGCTGGCAGCACTGGGGCAGTTGACACAGCATGGAGGAACATCTTTCTAGCATGCTCTTTCCATCTGGACCAACAAACCCTGACCTGCTTTCCTAGACATCTGATAGGGACCTCAGAGAAATGTACTAGGTTTAGGTTTGGTTTGGTTTGGAGCAGTAACACCTCCCATTCTGCATGCCACAGAGGAGGTAGCAGTCAAGGCGTGGAGAGCATTGAGTAGGGTTCCCATGGGAATCCTTTGGCCAAAAGTGTAGAAGTCAAGGGAGCTCTCTGGAAATCTTGGGATTAGTGTGATGTGTACCCTTTTGTGCTCAGTCCCAGTAGTGTTTGTAGTCCAGCATGTGAGAATAACCGAGTCTAACCTCTGTAAAAGATCTATAGAGGTTTCAGCCCTCAAACTGCAATGCTAGACTTGATTCTGCGTGTATTTTGTTCTTTTTCTCTGGCCTGCTATGCAGACAGCAGCCTTGATTTGTTTTATAAAGCTGTAGATAAGTCAGTAGCCAAAGCTGTTTTGAATTATTGGACGGGAGCAAATAAATAAATAAATGAGCTTTTCTCAAGCATGCCAGCGCTAAGAATCCAGATGGCAAGTTCGCCTGCACATCAGCTTGTGCTCAGCCTCAATGCACCTATGCTGTCTGTGCTTAATGTGACCAAAAACACTGCTAAATTTCCAGGTCTTGTCAGTGGCAAAACTTTGGGGTACATAAACTAAGTCTTTTTCCAAAGTACCTTTTTGCCAGCCTAGACCTAACAGTTTTAATGTGTGTGAGTGCATTCTCTGTTAGCTGTGGGTGATCCTGGGCTCCAGGAGAGCCTTTCTGCTGGTAGCGTCCATATTGGGGTACAGTTACTGTCTCAGCTGAAGCACCAAACACCACTTCACCTATAAAGACAACCAACAGCCTTTTGTTAAATCTCACAGCTCATAGACTGACTGCTGTATAAGTGAGTGAATGCATGGCAGCTCACTTCCTGCCTATATGAGTGAGTGAGCAATGAGTGAGTGCCAGCTCACTTCCTGCCTGTACAAAAATGGGCAACAAAATGCTCTTCGAGGCCTCTTCTATTTCCTTCTAGCCTGCTTCTCTTCCTTGAACCTTCCTTTGGCTAGGAGGGTGTTGCACACTTATCTCCTTTGGGATCCTGAGTGGAGATGTCAGTGCATTTTCTCACTTCCACTAACATGTCTTGTCACTTACTTCTCCAGGTTCATGTAAAGGGAGGTGCAGAAAGAGAAGTATGAGGTCAGAGGATTTGGTTATTTGTGTATTTTACCAGAAACAATATTTGAGACAGAACAAAAGCACCTGAAACGGAGTTCGTTCTGCCAAATTAAATGAAGATACATTTCATAAAGAATGTTTTTCTTCCCCTCACAGTTTTTTTCCTCTGCTTCAAATGGGGTGCATTGTTTACCAGTACATAAGTGAACCTTATGTTTCCTGTAAATGAGTAGTTGTTTCATGAACAGAAATGCAAATACTGTTTCCCCACTGTATGGCTTTTTCCCTTATAGTGCACTAAATAGTGACACATCTGCAGTAGAGGAAGCCAAGCAACATGAGAAAAATAATGGAACAAACTTATTAATCTTTGTTTTGGTTCAAACAAAGGTGCTTAGAAACCTCCCATTGCAACTATACTGCCCTTGAGTTGAGCGTGTTAGAGCTGTAACAAGATGGCTTGCACGCTTGTGTTTGGAAGGCTATGGATAAAACTGACTTGCTGTATAGATAAGCTGAACACAAATGTTAATATCCTTGCATTGTCTTAATGAAACTCCTTTCTTTTCTCATTATTTTCTATTCTGTTCCTTTTCCTGTGCTCATCTGACTAAACAGACCATTAGAGCGTGCAAGCACGCTCAGGCTCAGACACAGCCTCGGCTGTTTCAGTACACTGGTTCCTTGGGCTGAGAGAGCGCCCCTGCAGCCTTTGACCATCCAGCAGCCTGATCCTACCTCCTGGTACTCTGGCCTCTGTCCCTGCCTTCCAGGCACAGTGTCCTTTTCTCTTTCTCTCTCCTGCCTTTTCCTCTTCACGCACATTCACACAGGGGTTTGTTAGAGGTTATGCATGAAAGAATTTAAAGAAAACAGGAACTAAAGATGATGGGCCCAATACTTTGTTGAATTCAGTAGCATCTTGTAGTGGGAGCAGAACCGGGGCCTCAGAATGCAGCTGTTTTGGGGTGCAGAGATTCCTTTCTGATCAGTGTCTGCCAAGATCATTCGAATGTGATTATTGATACCAGCAACTATGCGTTGGTGCAGAACTAGCAAGATTTATGTAGGTCAGGGCTGCCCAGCTGGCAGCCTGTAAACAGTTAGCATAGCAGCCCAGAAACAGTTGGCCCACGCAGCTGGGAAGAGCCCAGGGGTCTGCATGCAGCCCCCCAGAGGGACTGCCCCCAACAATATGTAGCCATGCAGTGTGCAACCTGGGGCCTGCACACAAGCACCCCATGCAGCCCTCAGCTGGTCCCAAGTTAAACAGGTCTGATGTAGTCCATAACGGTGCACACACCTCATTTTGCACGTTTTCAAGCTGCTAGTTATAATTAATATTTAAAACAAGAGCCTAGTTCTTATGTCTTGGATGGATGCCCACCAAAACTATACTTTAGGTTTAAAAATGTATCTAATGATTCTGCCAGTATCTTCCAAACCTGACCAAAATACTGGCCATTCTTTAAGTCTACTGCAAATGAAATGTGAAAGCTTTAAGTGAAACAATGTTTATGGGCTGTAAAATTTCTCCAGGTGTTATCTCCAGATAGCATGGCCAGTCATAAATACCAAAATGGGAGGAAGGTTTACCTGGAAGGTCTCTTGTACTTTTCTGCAATAGAGGAGATACTCTTCCACCCCCAAATAGCATAATTTGGGTATAGCAACTTGGAAATGGATTTCCTAGTCTTTCCGTAAATCTACACAGGTTTTAGGGAGCTAGTTACGTTACCCCATGACCTAAAGGACCTTCCACATCTTGGTTAGCTGTCTTAAAATAGCAGCTACAAATCTAGTGACAAGTACTTAAATTTTGAATGTCCTACATCAATAGAGACATTCCTCAAATACCTATTGAAAACATTGATGCAATAAGCCTAAGAGCTAAGGAATATGCAGCTAACTGTCATATCTCTTAATTTTTGCTTTCTGACCTGTAGATGACTACTGTGGCCTGTTACTATGCTCTGCACAGGAAAATTCATTCTGTAATTTTTATTTTGGTCTTTTCTGAGTTTCTTTACTGTTCAGTCTAGCTCTCGGAGAATGAGTTGGCATTATCCTGCTTTCTAACAGAGCAGGAATTGCTGCAATGAAATTCTGATAAAAAGCTTGTAATGATGAGAAGTCACACTTTCTGTGGAAGAACTTGTAGGAACGTGGCACACACCAAGGTGTCCCCCTTTGTAGCAACTTTCCTGCATAACCCAAATGACCCCTGCGTGTGTTGCTTTCCTTTTCAGTGCATTTGTAACTCACATGGTTTTGGTATTGCAACTTAACTGCATAAAATGATTGACTGATTTGAGCCTGAAATGGCAGTGATTTAGTATATGTAGATTATGGCAACAAAAAAATCTTTTGAATGATACTGCTTGATTAACTAATGTAAAAACACTAGCTTGAAGCACATGCTACATTAATTATCCTATCAATCACCAAATAAATTACAGTTTTTGAAAGCATATAAAGCTTTAAATTTAGCTTTCCATCAAGTCTCCTTCTCTGGCTTCAGATAACCATTAGTCAGAAGCTTTGAACAGAGATTAAATATTGATTTTTAAATGTTTTGTTCATTGCATAATTAATGACACAACAGTAGCTAAACGGATTATTAAAATTGTGATCAATGGTTACCATTTATACTGTAATTCAGTTGAATAATTGAAATTTAGATAATACTTTCTGCACTATAAAAGTAAATGTTAACAGTGCTGAGATAGATGCATGCATTTACAAGCTGCTGTCTTGGTGATTTTGTATATTGTGCATTTACTGTGTGTCAAAATTCATCAGGTCAGGCATTTTCCATTTTTGTTTTGTTTTGTTTTTCAGTTTATCTGATGATGTTTTACTGTCTTAAAGCTATATTAAAAAAAAAAAAGCAAGGTGTTCAATCTTTATTAGGATAGGTTTCAGAGAAGCTCTTTGAATAGCTAGTTTTTTACTTATGTCATGAAAAAAATTGTAAGTAATATTGCATTGTGAACCTAGGGCTTGAATCTTCCACCGTGTTCAAGTTCCTGAAATATAGTCAGTGTGAAAAGTTGATGGGTCATCCTCCCTTATTTTGCTTCTTTTTTGTGACATGCTCTTAAAGCTAAGAGAACACCACGTAATAAATGTGTTAACATTTTTCAAGGACTTCAG